TATGAAAGAAAGCAATGATGGAAATTAGGGAATCATATTATCACAGCATGGTAGGACCATCGTTTTACCAAAATCGAATGTATTTAAGTGTAGAAATTACAGGAAAAACAGGATGTGATCCACCAACTGTTGTATTCGAATCAAATATTACCTCCAATTTTGAGCATGGCAATTTATTGATCAAGATGTGCTCAACCATTTTCTATATCAATTTTGTAGCAATTTTGCAAGCTACTTCTTCACCCAACAAAAACCACAGCAACTCACGAAACCATCCAAAATCTAGCGTATGGAATATTGGCCAGCAACATTTCAAATCAATTTGCTCAAAATGTCTCCATTAGCAAGTTCGTGAATCTGTTTTAAAGGATGAGCCAACTGAAATATCTAACTCAACCCAATGCATGGAAGAAAATTTTATAATGGCCCAAAAGGAAAAATTAGAGATGGCTAACTGAATTTATAAATCTGGAAATTGGGATGATGGCAGCCCAAAAAAGTAGTGACATCTAATTGAGGAAATTTCACCACATACTCTACTTTTAATAAAATTTCAAATATTACATTTCATCATTTTTTATGTCGTAAATACTGCAATATTTAAAGTATAACCAAAATAGAAAAAATAACTCAACTCCTCAAACTACATAATTCTTGTCCCAAATCCTCACATGGTTGTATCGTCATCTTCTATTTAAGCCAAATTCACAAAATTGGAAACCAGAAAAAATCCTTAGTCATCATAGGGATCAATCGTCTTCATATATCAAGGTTCCATATCCTCGATCCAAATTTTTTTCTGCCACTATAATTTCGGGGAACTATAAATTTTAAGCTATCAACGAATCAATTCCATGAGAATGTTTTTCTGGATTCTTCGCTGCATTTTCGAGTTACTATGAGTCTGAATACATGTGGTGAAAAAGGATTCACAAAGGCGACCCTGAATTTATCAAGAACAAGATTTAGTTACATTTTTTCCTAGTTGAATGAAAATTCCTTAACGAGTTTTTGGAAGAAGAACTGGTTGCTTACGTCTTAAACATATCAGAATGTGTTTCTAAACTATTAATTGCAGTTTGTCATTTCACATTGATGATTGCTTATTTTGGGATTATTACAGTGTCATTAATTGGATTTTCCTATACATATTTACTAGAAAGTCCCACAACATAACACATTTGATGTAGACACATGATGAATCATTTTAATTAATGTTACGTTAAGTGCCTAGTACACAACACCATGCTAAGTGGAAATTACAAGTACAAATTTTATGACTTTGTGAGTTCATATGATCGTCTCATATGAATACAAGTAGTATATGCTGAATAGGCTTTGTTGTTCTTTAATTGTGTTTTCCATTTTTGTTTATACTCTAACCACGTATTTACTCCATTGCATGCTAAAAATACAAACTACAGATTTATTTATTACCTATCGATTCAGTTAATGTGCCAACAATATATAATATTACGTAAACTATTAGCTCCAAACACCATGTAATGTGGAGCATCAAAAGAATCTGAATTTGAACGTAATATATATATAACCAACAGTTCGTAGTACTCCATTCAGAGAAGAAAGGTTTCATCTGTATTCATATATCTCTCGTGCCTTTATCGAAAACTTTCAATCCACTTTTCTTCCAGTTTGATTTAACTATTCGGCTGATAAATTAAGCTAAAACTATGGGAATGGCCATTTTTGAACTTTGATGTCATTCTTTTCTGTTCGACGATTCTTTAGTAGGTAATTTGAATGAATTCTCCAAACTTCATTCAATTTATCTTGATATAGTGAAGCAAGAGCCAACGGATTTGGATTCGGATTGGAATCCAAATTCTTCTTTGCTGGCGGGTTAAGATCAGAAGAAGTCACCAAGACGAAGAAGAGCGAGAAAAGTACAATTCTGGGACTCATTCCAATAATTTTTTTTTCTTAAACCCCTTTTTGAAATCTTTCTGAAAACACAATAAGAATTAGTCAAATGATGTATTGACATTCTTGTAGAATAGTAACAATTTATAGTTAAATTTGCATTCTTGTAGCTGTAATTAATGTACAGCTTAAACCTTGCCATTTCGATTTTCAGTTACAAATCAAAAATGAGAAAAGCTTCAGAGTTAGTAATTTAGGTATTATTTTTTGGGTTATACAGTATATTCAATGTATAAATGAGTATTTTGGTATAATATGGAATCTTTTTTATTTCACAGGTACCTAAATTACTAACTATTCGCGAAATTATTTCTTTTGATTTTAAACCACCGCAAGTGTACGGTTCGTTAACAAGTAATAAAGTGGATTCAATGAGTCCGAATATCGTTCTACGGCTCGTACTTCTTTTTTTCCTCTTGATAGTTCTCTCCCTTCCATTAAAGAGAAGCAAATGGAAGGGTTTCATAAAAGTTCTCGGATAGTCGATAATGAAATTTTCATTCTTACATGCTAGATCATAAATTAGTAACTGCATCCAATTTTTAGTATTAAGAGCGAAATAAAGCTAAAATCGATAATAAGATGTTGTTGGCTAACCAAGGAAGGAACCCCACCCCCACTCCCACAATGAAATAGGCGTGGGTAAAGAATATGAGATTTTTTTTCCATTTTGTGTGTGTGTGTGTGTGCAATTTTTTCAATTTTTTTAAGAATATTAAATTATAATTTTTTTCCTTTTAATTTTTGAATTTACTAGTCAACCAGGTTGAGTTACAAAAATTGAATTTATCCATTTTGATAAATTGCTCGTGTTTCCAATAGCTGGGAGATAATAATTAAAAAAGAATATAAAAAGATAGAGAATCAGCATTGCCCTATCGTCGGTACATAAGCCCGTACTTCTTTTCTTCATCTTGATAGTTCTCTCCCTTCCATTAAAGAGAAGCAAATGGAAGGGTTTCATAAAAGTTCTCGGATAATTGATAATGAAATTTTCATTCTTACATTCTAGATCATAAATTAGTAATTGCATCCAATTTTTAGTATTAAGAATGAAATAAAGCTAAAGTCGAAAACATATAGATATTTTTTTTTTAAAATAAATTTTGTGAAGTATGATTTATTTATTTATTTATTTTTGGGAATATGGTTAAAAAGTAGAAAATATTATGGAGTAACATACAAAATTATTTTATTTAAAGAATTTGTTTAAAAATTAAAAAAAAAATGGAAAAACGAATCAAGGGGCCAAGCATAGTCATATATTAATTGGTAGTTCATAAAGTCATAAAGAAACAAAGTGACCGAAGTACTGAAATGATAGTTGATTGGTCATCATAAAGCACTTCCTTATTCATTGGTATTTCAGATTCTGGCGTAAATTATAAATATTTGTTCACGTGATCGTTTTCCATCAACTCCATTCCATTCAAAGAAGAATGGAATCTAAACTTTGGTTTCAATTAAGACATCTTATGGGACAAACGTAGACTATATATTAAGTGGAAATTACAGGGAGAGCCAAACAACATTTCAAAATTAACATTTATAATTTTTCCTTCAAAAAATCAGATGATAATTCATCCGTTAAATATATTAATTAATTAAATTAAAATACACCCACCCAAACCTCACCATAATCCCATACCCTAATTTCATTTCATTTCATCTCTCTCTCTCTCCACCACCTATCTACCGACGGCACCACTTGACCCTTTTCTCCCGACTAAATTTGTTGTATATGGTGGGTTTTATTTTTCTGACCCGATTTGTTGTGTAGATAGTGATGGTGTAGATGAGTACTGGAGGTTCTGGTAGATTTAGGATTTAAGATTTTAGGTATTCAGGTGAATTATATTTTGGATCCAGAGTTTTGGTGGTGGTGATTGTGCACGTGGGATGAAGTGTGGTGGCGTGCTACTAGTCACATTTTAATTTGCACCGATTACAGATACTAGGTTACATGTCACATGTCATATCATATAGTTACATATCAGTGTAAACATGTTACATATCAATTTTAACTAATTTGATCTGGCCATAAATTAGACTTACATATCTTTGTGCAATGATAACAAGTCACAAATTCAAATGTATAGGCCATAGTACATATGTCACAAATCATAGACATCGGTTGTTAAGTCGTCGAGTCATATTTCATAGGTAACATATCATTGTCAACTTATCAGGGATCATCATTGTGTTAATAGCACAAATAAATGTAGTCATAGTTCAAAAATTCGACAACCAACATGGAATTTTGGCAACATCCCACCGTTACCACCATTTGCACAACACCAACATCACCAAAAAGGAAATATATATATATATATA